ATTATTATATACTTTATTCATTAAACATGAAACTCAGCCAACTGAACATTCAAAAATGCATCGCAAATATCAGTGACTGGTGCTAATGGTTGATAGGGGTTGCTGCCAGCATCCTAGGTATCAACCAAGTACCTTTTTAAAATTATTTTATTATATACTTTATTCATTAAACATGAAACTCAGCCAACTGAACATTCAAAAATGCATCGCAAATACCATTGACTGGTGCTAATGGTGGATACGGGTTGCTGCCAGCATCCTAGGTATCAACCAAGTACCTTTTTAAAATTATTTTATTATATACTTTATTCATTAAACATGAAACTCAGCCAACTGAACATTCAAAAATGCATTGCAAATATCAGTGACTGGTGCTAATGGTTGATACGGTTTGCTGCCAGCATCCTAAGTATCAACCAAGTACCTTCTTAAAATATACAATGTTCTGAGTAGTGCAGTTTTTTGCAGTTCCACTGGTGTTATTGCAGGAAGCTACAATTTCGCGATGTATTTTGTAAAATTCTTGGACATGGTGCCAAGTGCCCCGATGACATCCATAATCGCGTAGTTTCGATGGCTGCTGCTGCTGCTACTGTTGTTATTTCATTTTTTCCCCTTCTTGTTCTTCATTTCCTGCCTTCTTTCTTTTCCTCCAGCTATTTACTGCTAAAAGCCGCCCCTCCAGCACCCTGGATCCTGAGCTGATGTGGAATCCGGAGCTCTTACCGAGGGCCAGCCCCGTGGCGATGACCAAAGAGTACTCCTTTCTGCGAACCAGTGTTCCTCGAGGCCCGAAAGTGGGGAGCTTGGGCCTCCCAGCTTCCTTGAAAGAGAAAAAAAGTTCCAAATCTTCCCGAACAAGCCGGATTCGGTCGCTGGCAGATTACCGAACGGAAAACCCAGACGGGAGCGCCAGTGGGGCCGTCCCGGTGGCCGATTCCTCGGGCGGCTCTCTGAAACAGAACTCAAACAGTCTGACCTCGGTTGTGTCCTCCATCAGTCTGACCCCCGATTCAGACGACCGCTTGGAAGCTTTGTCCTTGGCGGGAGACAGCGTGTCAGAAATGGACGGCAGCGAAGCGGGAATGAGGCTGGATGGCAATGAAAGTGACAGCTCGACCTACAGTAGCATGTCAGGAAGAGGTCTCACTTCCTCCAGCCCCAAAAGCAAGCAGGGGATGGCCTTCACCATCAACGGGCAGGAGGTCCCGTTGGATGCTGTTGGACAGTTTCCTTCCATCAGGGAGGTACTCCAAGCTGCGGCAACAGAGCAGCGGGCTCAGGACCTGGAAGTCAACGGGGAGCCCAGAAGTCGGCGGGACAGTATTTCTAGCAGGTAAAGCTGTTTTGGTATCTTCTCCAACTCTGAAGGCTCCAGCTTGGACTCTTTTTGTCCCAAAGGTGCCTTTTCAAAAGGCAACTGGACTTTGTTTGTCATGGATACAAAGAAAGGTCCTTCCTTCAGTTTTGAACTGAAGAAGCTTCTTGGATGAGAAGAATGGAACTGAAGAAGCTTCTTGGATGAGAAGAACAAAATTGAAGAAGCTTCTTGGATGAGAAGAACGGAACTGAGGAAGCTTCTTGGATGAGAAGAAAGGAACTGAAGAAGCTTCTTGGATGAGAAGTAGAGCATCTTCAAGAAAAAAAATCTCATCCAAAAAGTTTCTTCAGTTCAGAACTGAAAGAAGAAGGAACTTCCTTTATTTCCAGGACAAACAAAGTCCAGTTGCCTTTTGAAAAGGCACCTTTGGGACAAAAAGAGTCCAAGCTGGAGCCTTCAGAG